CTATACTTTAAAAAAAAGGTCAATGACATTGCTGGATTATGGGATAACAGATGAATTTTTAAAATTCTTATAAATGTCATACATGTTGCTATCATTTTATAAGACAGTTTATTACCACAGAACGTCAAGGTATCATTTACAACTCTCCAATACTGAACTATCAGTATTGTTGTGTTGATTTTTTTCAAAGTTATTTTGTTAATTTAGTACTATGCACTGAGTTAGACACTAAGTAAGTATTGGAAGACACCGACACACAGGTGTCTGTTCTGAGTCTGCCCGTGACTTAGGGAGCCTGCCTCTGATTTTCAGTGGGGCACTGGGGGAGACTTCTCCTGTATCAGTGCCCACCCAGCAAAGTCCTGGGCCAGGCTGTCCTGACTGCGTCTGCATATTTGTACAGAGTGGGATGACAGGCATGGAAAAGCATTCCTTGGATCTTGGGCAAAGGCCAACCATGTAGAACTCTAGGGGAAAGTCAGGCTGGGAATGGGAGACATAAAAGAAGGGGGAGATCAGGCTTATCAAACACTGGTAGACTAACACTGGCCACAGTGCTCCTGCTGGGGGAGGAGGAACAAAAGCTAAACTTGGTAAACTATCAGTGAAGCCATCAGAGCCATGGGGGGTAGACCTCCTGGGGCCCAAATACCACCTAGCAATGGAATTTATGCCATGTGGTGCTGTACATGAGTGATTTGGTAACTTTCTTGGCTTCCTAGAACTCTATCTACTAAGTGGAGGTATAGCACTTTAAAGTTTACAGTTCTGCTAGGAAATAGCCAAGTATGGATTTAAATTAAATAGTGTCTAAAGTCAGTTAGGTTTCATCCTTTTCACATTTTAACTAATTGAGGAGTAGCAAAAGTAGTCATCAATGTGTTTAACCTTGTATAATAACACTATCCAAATCGGTTCTCCACTCTTGAAAGTAACCAGTTTAAGTATTAAACTAAAGAAAAAGAAAACAATTCATGCATGACTTAAACACTTTTCTGATATGCAAACAATTATTCCTTGCTTTTCAAACCACCCCTCAGAAGACCATCAGCTCCTTAAGACCCTGGAACAGATGTTATTCAGCATCTCTCCTGCAAGTGGAGTGGATGAATGGCCAGCTGAGACAGACACCCCAGCATTTATCATCCAGTTCCAACATTCATTAGCTGTGTGACTTTGGATGATTTATTCAGCATTTCTGTGCTGTTCTGTCTTCCAGGAAGTAGATGTGAGGATAACTATCCACCATGAGTTTGTAAGACTTTAATATATTTAAAGCACATGACCTACACTGAGCATTCAGAAAAGATTTGCTGAAGCCCAAGTGTTGGTGCCCCCAAAGTCACAAGCTCCCCAAACACAGCTTTGCTTCTGATCCTTTACTTTACTTTTTGCACTCTTTCTGGCTTCTTCACCTAAACACTTGCATTCTATGACAGCTGTTCTGGCTTTGAAACCATCTCCTGCTTTCAAGGCTACACTCCACGTGGCCAAGGCTGAGAGGACCAGGCTAGGCAAGGGTGTCCTGTTGGAACTGGCAGATTTCTAAATTTTCATTAATGAAGTAGTCAAGCATTACACTCATTTCACTAATAATTTAGTCCGAGTTACAATATTCTATATTTAAGTAATCCCCAATTTCATTAAATACACACATAAATACTTATAGTAACTGATGACACTAATATTTTGATATTCCTTGATAAACAAGAGAAAATGAAAAATACAAAAAAGTTACCCCATTAGCTTACTGCATTATTAGTTTGCAAGCTTATTTAAAAGATTAGGTAAATCACAGAAGATTAATGTTTTCTTCTTATCTGAATGAAGAATATTTGGGAACTCACAAAACGTCTAGTGCAACCTGCCCGAAGCCCACAGTGACCACTGGAATGTCAGCCGGGTGGATTATTAACTGAGTTTCAGAAAAGGCTGGTGTCCTCCAGGCTTTTCATAGG